CAAATAAAAAATTTCCATTTTAAAAGAATCACAATTATCCTTTAGTAATCCATTCCTTTCCAATGAAAATACTCCAACAAGCGAAATCACATCACCATTTTACTTTAATTTTCTTTACCGATCTTTGTGAAATATTTCGAGATTCGAGAAATTTGAGAAAGTGGAAGTTATCATTCAGTGTAATGATCGCGGTGAATTGAGAAACGGTCATTGTCATTGTGCTGGGCACTTTTTTGGTTCACAATGCCAATATGTCAGCCGATGTGATCATGGCAAACGGAAACATGGAAGGTTTTCACTTTTAACTTTTTCTTCCTTCTTTCTTATCAAAATTTACAAATATTTAAATTTATTTCAAAAGTTAGATTCAAGGATGAACTTTAATTTATTTCAGATGTCTGTGTGATGACGGTTGGAAAGGAGATTATTGTCATGATATCATTTGTCAGCATGGTTATCCAGGTAAATAATCATTAAGTTTGAGTAAAGAATTTTGAAAATGTAAATTGAAGATTCTAAGCTGAATATCTGTGCACATATACTATAATAGAATTAATCAATCTAACGCAATTCTAACAGAATTTACATTAATTAAAAATTTAAGAATTCAGATATCAACAATAAAAGCGAATCATGTGTTTGCCCAGCACGATTCGCCGGAACCCACTGTGATCGTTGCTCCCAAAAAGGACCTAAAATCAGACCATATCCAGAATGCAATATTGATATCACAAAAAGTAAAGCAAAACAACAACGACAAGAAACAGAAACACAGGTACCATCATTTTATGTCATCAAAGAAAAGTGGGTTTAAAATTACTGTCATGTAAATTCATGCATACCAATCTATTCATCTAATTCCAAAGCTTTATTTTATTTCCAAAATAATAATTGAATAATCCATTGTTAACCCTAGAAATTAAATGATGACTTTGCAGTTCCGATTGCGACTAACAATTATGGCAGCCACAAGCTTTTTACTTTTGTTTCTGGTAATAACAATGATTTTCTTTCATCGACGAAGAATTTACAAGAGACAACGTTCAGGGAGGGAAAATCTTCGGCAGCGTGAATATGAAATCCGGAAAACAATCCTTGAAAAAGCTGCACGGACTACAGAATGTCTGAATGTTGAGCCGAGGTATTTCTTTTCCGAATATTTCAATCCAGACTTCATATAATTTGAGAAATTTTTTCAACTATTTGTCATTGTGAACACAGCATCATGTAGCATGCTTACATTCTTCGGTATAAACATCAAACCTTACACTTCTGCATTAAAATGAAATGAACACCTAATTCTCGGCAATTATATTGAAAGTTGACTTTTACAGGACGGAATATATCGAAGAGGAAGACAGGAATCGCAGAAATTGCTGGAATCATATTAAAACGAATAGAAGATTATCATACTTTCTATAGCTACCAAAATAAATTCTACAAATGTTCACATATATGATTTGGGAATCATCGCTCAATAACATGCAGTCTACAGGTGATCATAAAATTCAGAATGAAGTTTGGGTTTTTGGATCAGAATTAAGGAAAATCAGAGGATTACACTTGTTGATCAAAATTTTCCACTGCTGTTTTGAATTGTAATTGAATTCTTTGGATTGCCAAAAAATATCTCTTGATTGCTTTACAAATTTATTCTGTATCTACACCTGACCCATTATACAGATCAATAATTTGTTGTTAATATCTTATTAGTTAATAAAAAAAATTAATCACAAGTAATATGTAAAGTGTTGATTCGCCAGATATATCTCACAGTCCACTGCACTTATTTTATTGTAAGAAGGAATAAACCTAAAATCATGAATCTAGAAAAAAGCATCTAGAATCCGTCAAAATGAAAAATTTAGGAGTATCTTTAGCGAATTCATTTTGTTCTGCAAATAGTGCACTGTGATTAACCAAATCTAGACAATACCAAAAAAATAATATATAAATTAATATCACATACTATGTAATTTCCTAATAACTCAAGTGATATCCTTACCGACTAAAACTTGAATAAACACGACAACTTCGGAAATTTCTTGTGACGGACAAAAAGTCTCACAATTTACATGCATACTTTGTGAGATCAGAATCTAGTCTGTAAAAAACGAAAAACAGAACTAAATAATTTGCAATGAACAAACCTACAAGTAGTAAAAGTTAGTACTTTCAACTAGCGTTTAAGGAAGCAGTTAATAAAGTAAGGTTGGCAATTTATACAAATTACTATGTACGAAAATAAAACTTTTGCAAATATAATACTATAAAGATAAATAAATATTTAGATTCAGAGAGGAAAAACAATGAAATCGGAAGAGAACAAAACAACGAATATTAAATGTGTTTCAAAAAGTAATAAGTTCTATTATAACCCGATAAATTTTCAAAAATTTCAGGAAAAATGTACCCAATCAGACCTAAGTGCTTTGTACGTATTGCTGTCGCTTTGATTAGTATTATCATCTCCTAGAACGTTGGAAACAAATATTCCAACAATTGCTCGCGCTTGAGCAATCTCATTTGCATCTTGTACGTTGTATGTTTTGTAGAAATCCATGGTCATCAAAACATTGTACTTGGGCCGTTCGTCCTTGCCCTTAATTAGGCTGAAAATTATACTCTTAATTATGAAGTTTTCGACAAAAAATAAAAGAGAAGAAAAAAAACAATTAAAGTTTGTTTATAAAAATATGGAAAAACCAAATAAAAATAGAAAAGCTGTGAATATTCGAAAACTATTCCTATTCCATTAATACGGACTTTCCTTTCTTTAAGCCAAACAACGACTTTGATATCATAAAAATAAGGGAAATGAAAATAACCAGTGATTGATAAATGTAACCAGACACGTGGAATATATTCCAGGTGGCATAATCGGAGGCTCACCATTCACCACTTCTTGCAGTTGTTGGAATGGTGAATCCCAAGCTGAGAATGGAAATCGTCCTGTTGAAACTTCAAACTGGAAATAAAAAGCTATCTACTGTTGTACTTTCTTTGTCAAACCAAATAAAATCAATTAATTTACTTTCTTTACAGGTTTATTGAAACCTGATGAACTGAGAGACACGCATGCCTGGGTCATACACTTACTAGAGTTATGCCCAGCGACCAAACATCGGATCGAACATCATACGGCTCATTCGATTGGAGTCGTTCAGGCTATAATGAAACTTAGGAACTATATTAAAATTCAACTCCACTTAATTTCCGAAGTTTAATTAAATTACAGAACAACAGAGGTTTTTTGAAAAAAAAAAACAATATACCGCCATATACGGACGGCAACCTGCATCCTGAGTTTTAGCAATGGAATCGATTAAGTGACCAGCTATACCAAAATCACATAGTTTTATATGTCCCTTCCGATCCAGCAAAATGTTGGACGGTTTAACATCTGAAACCATGTAGATAACAATCAGCAAACCAACGATATTTCCGAAACCGACACTTCGAAATTCCAAAAAGTTCAACTGACCCAAAAACTAACCCCGATGAATTATTCTTAAATCTTCCTTAAGATAGCTGAGAGCGTTCACTGTCTGAAATAGTGAATATTACATAAATCAGTCCGCAAATCTTATTTTCGCATAAAATCTTTGAAAAATACCCAACCGTAATTACCTGTTTCTATAACGCTTATCAAAAATTTTGTCGACCCAGGACCCAGTTTGAACAAAACTTACAGAAACTGCAACATATCCAATCATATCTTCCGGGAGATAATTTCCTTTTTCATATACTATTTTATAAAGATTTTCCAGAGAAATATCCATTAATTCCATACATATCCAACAGTCACCCTAAAAAACCTTTATTTTCAATCAAGCAAATTCAAGAGAACACTGAAAAAGTCAGCAGAAGTTCAGATAAAGGGAATGGAGTGAAAAAATAAGAAACTTATTAACTTCAGTAAAGATAGCACCATAAAAGCGAACAATGTTTTCACACTGGCTACTCATAATTGCTTCAAGTTCCATAAGCAAATGTTTTTGCTCTGTTGAATTCACAGTATTCGACCGGATACGCTGAATAATAAATTCTTTCTAGATAAAATCATCTCCAAATCCTATTGTGACAGATAATAACACTTTCGAGATCAAATTTTTATAAAAAGTTACAATATCCTTCAAATAATTCTCACTTTAACAGCTAAAACAGTTTCTGATTTTGTATGAAGCATCCGATTAACCGTTCCGAAATTCCCACGGCCAATTTCGCCTTTATCGATGAGATCATTACATGTAAATTCATATTCTTCATCTGATGAAAAGCGTAATTTACCTGCGGAATGACTTCGCAAATATGCGCTGAAATGTTTGTCTAAAATTTTTATGAAATACAGTTTATGACTTGTATTTTACCACATTACCAGTGCAGAATTGTATGGATAAAACGAATAAAAAAGAAAACCGGTTCTTAACCTAGCAGTTTGAAATTTCATATAATACATACATCTAACCCCAAATAACAACGTAAGATATACCAAATCTATAATTCTAATTACAACAAACTGCGGTGCTCGCTAACTGTCAACGTTCATCATGCTCATACGAAGCGTATATTGCAATCAAATTTTAGAAACTGCACATTTTACAGAGAAATTAAAAATTTTCAATGCTTTAAAATTTGCAAATTTCAACTGATTTTGAAAGTCCAGATAACTAACAGCTGTGGTGATGTCTTTACATCAGATAACGGTGGAAAGTCGAGCTTCAAATTGAAACGTCCATTGTCAAGTGATTCCGGTCGTTCGGTCATCTTTTCCGGTTACTGATATCCTTTCGAAACTATCGTAATTCAGTTAAACAAATGATTAGCAAAATTTCACTAGAACCATGCATTCCTTTTCAAATAATTCATTATTGTACATCCTAGAAAAGTAGATTAAAAATAGAATAAATATGGTAAATTTGTTCATCAAATATCGTCTCATAAAAAAGATACATAATGTAAAGGGTAAAAAAAAAAATTCAAAATTAAATAAATAGGAAGAGAACCGCATATTCCAATGCTCTACTGACAATGATTGAGCTATCTGGGAAGAATGAAAATATCGCATTCCGGTACGCGAACCCCAATGCTTCTTCCGCTCCTCACTTAGGGAAATAATGTTTGCATAGCGCCTGTGCCGCAGGCCATTATAATTTGATTTTCGGCACTTTATTAGGATCATCTACTTGGCCCAGTCGGAATTGTTGTGCGGACAGTGGTTTACACGAGGTTTGAATTTGTCTTGTCATTTAGTGATGTGTCCTTATAGAAAAGTGGACTCAGAGATTGTAAAAATCCTTCTGTACTTTTACCAACTACATCATCCTATGTTTCAATTGTTGTATTATACGGATACGTACTAGATACCGACCTCGACATTTTTTATATTTTTAATGGCATGTGAGAAATTCAAGTCAACCAGGAAATTTGTTTTCTTTGACTTAAATTTTAAAATGTGTGCGATTAGGGTTTCATGACATTTCTCGTTTTGTAACGAGTTCCTCAGAGCTTTAAATCTTTGTTAATTTAAATTACTTTCTCAGCAGTTCAGTGATCAACAACTGTCTCATTTCACTATGGACTTCCAGCAAACTGGAAAGTTTTTCCTGGTGCCCATTAAGATGGGATGAGATGGATTGAGATTTTCTGCAGCGAGTAAGAATTCAACTCTGCAGTGGGTAAGATTGGTACTGATTGCAATACTTTAGTATCGTAATCAACTGTTCCATTCAGCAGAACAATAGCTATTATAATAATTGCAGTACTTTAGTCTTTTTATTCTCTTTTGAGTTGATTAGATTAATTTCAGGTAATTAATGGATCTATAATGTCCCCATTTTATGATGAAGTTGATATCGAAGATTTTGATTACGATGAGTTCACCAAATGTTACACTTATCCATGTCCGTGTGGAGATTGGTTCGAAATTTCAAGGTAGATGATTTAATATACATGTTGTTAAGTGTCTTTTTATTAGCTTAATTATTTGATTATATGGATTTAAAAATTATGTTTAAAATTTAGCTAGAGCGGAGAGTGGACTCATCAATTCATCGATTCTGAGTGCGGGTAAATTTTGTATGGTGAATTCTAAAGGATAATATTCACTGGAATTAAATCCTAAAGAGTAATTAATTTTGAACTTCTTGCTTCGGTTTGCTCAGCTTTCTTCTTCATATTACTATGTATACTGCAGTATGTGTCTTTTTTTTCAGAGAAATGGTAGAAGCTGGTGAAGATATTGCTATATGTCCCACTTGTTCTCTTGCTATTCGAGTAATCTATGACCCAAATCGGTTCATGAAGTGGGAAATTCTACCAAAAATCGATATTCTTCCCAAAATGGAAATGGTCAGCTCATGTAAAATTCTGGGATAAAGTATTCCAGATGGGATTAATTAGATTTACTTGTCAGTTTGTACTACGTTTGCAGTTTGCTAAGTTTTATTCACTTCATACTTCGTAGTGTTAAACACTTATTATAAAAATATTCCAGATGAGATTAATTAGACTTACTTGTTCAGTTTGCTAAGTTTTATTCACTTCATACTTCGTAGTGTTAAACACTTATTATAAAAGTATTCCAGATGGGATTAATTAGACTTGTCAGTCTATATTAAGTTTGTCAGTTTGTACTACGTTTGCAGTTTGCTAAGTTTTATTCAGCTTCATACTTCGTAGTGTTAAACACTTATTATAAAAGTATTCAAGATGGGATTAATTAGACTTACTTGTCATTTTGTACTACGTTTGCAGTTTGCTAAGTTTTATTTAACTTCATACTTCGTAATGTTTAATACTTATTTTCTTGTAAATCCTACATTGATGATAAATATTCCTATATATATATGTAAAATATGCACGGCAAATTATAAAAACAGTGGTCTGGATTTTAAATAGTTTCTATGCTTGAAACTAACTGTTTGTGATCTGTTGTCGGGAATTTACTGAACCTAGCGCGCAGTTTATATTTCAGCAGTCATGAACCAGTAATGACCACTTGCAGCAGTGAACAAACGATTACATCTCATTGTCTTTTAAAATATGCATAGACCTGGAGCAATTTCGGAATTTCGGGAAATTTGTAGTTGGAAAAAGAAATATTAAATTGATTAGACCCGTTCTAGCAGATTAAGATTAAGCATTATGAACTGACAGATCAAGATGAACGGAAGTTGGACCAGCTGATCGTGATGAATTGTTCTGTTTATTCTCTTCGTTATTTTCTTTCCAAAAATCTTCAGCAGACACAACCCCAATGATTAAATCTGAGTTTTAGCATGTGCGGGAGAAATGGAGAAATAATTTATTGCATAGAATATAAATTTGAGAACGGGAAATTTACTTGCACTACTATTCTTATGTTATTTTCTAAAAATATATTATTAAAACGAAATATCAAAAGAAGTATTTGGCATAAGTCAAATCGAAATTAAAAATTCAATGAGAAAACATGAATGGAGTTTCTCAAATTCAACTTGCATCACTTGTTCTCCTTTCTTCGTAGAAGTTATCCTGGAAATCAAACGCCAGAGTCATGATTTTGGATCAAATTCTTAACAAATCAAAAGATGGCTTTGAATATTCGATTGTTTTTCTCTTTTTTGTTTGTTTACATATTACGATAAAAAAGTTCATTTAGTGAAGTATTGCATCTTTAATTTCTATCCCATTAACAATTCATTGAAAAGATTAAGTTCATTTCTCAAGAAATTTTTCAAATAATTTCGTTCGTTTTTTATCTCGAGTTTACTTTAGTTAAATTTTTAGCACTAAAACGTCTCAAATTCTGTACATTGTAAACAAAATTAGAATAATTGAAAAGAAAATCTTTTGGAAGATTTTTGAACAATTCTTTGAAGTATATTGCACACATTTTATTAAATCTAAATTTTCAGGAATATGGGGTTGTTATGTTTGACAATATTTTTGCTATTTTCATCATTAAACAATCAAATTAAGTGTTCTTCATATTTAGCAAATAATTAATTAAGTAATAACATCGAAGTCATTATGAAGTTACTTTTTCGTTTTTATCTTTATTATTTATAACGCTCGTATGGTTTATAGTTCGATTCTCAGCAAAGGATGGGTAAATAATATAAGCCAATCAAATATTCTAATATTTTAGGTAAATTATGAATTTTCAAATTAATTTTAAACAAATATTATAGATTTGCTGAGAATTTCTGAGAATTTTTTGGAAAAAAAGAAGCATTTTATTTTATCTCTTTCCGTCTCCTTTGTTTATTGAAATTACTTAAACGTTCATTTTTTTTATCGCTTGTTAAAATAGAGAAGCTTTTTTTTTCAGTTTAACAGAAACAAATATTTTAATTGCAAAGAAGAATCTTTTAGATCTAAATTTTTAAAACAAAATAGTACTTCTCATCAATGTGACTATTTAACTGTGATAATATCAGATTTTTATAAGAAAAAAAGTTACACTTTTTATTCACTTATTTCTTATATTTTCGTCCGGAAAAAGTTTTCTTTCTATACCAAATTTCATAATTTAAAATTGACTATTTTGCTGAAATAACTAATTAAAACAGTTGAAAATGAAAGAAAAATTTTACATTCATAATGCAAAATATGAAATTTTGCATTATTTGATGTTTTAAAAAGTCTTACTTTTTAAAATTTGCTTTAGAATTACCTGAATGTTCCTTGTCCTTTTACCTGCTGTAATTTTTTTTTTGCCATGATACTGCGTAATGGTGAAACTTGCCTAATTAAATTGTTAAATTGTTAGACTTAAAAAAAGAAAAATTTAAAAGATCCAAGCATTGTTGTCTGTCAAACTGCAAATTTTCTCTATTTGGAATTCTACACTTTCTATTTTTTCGCTTCTAATATTGGTATTGTTAAAATTCTCCTAACTCAAACGTGATTAATGATTTTTTTTTAGAAGAAGGGGGGTGGGGGGGAGCGGGAGAAGAAGGAGAGAGGAGGAAAAGAAGCGGAATTCATTGTTTAAATGGACCGCGAATAAGGAAAACTTTTAAGCAATTTAATCAATAGCACTGTAATTCATAAAGTATAGGTGTAAACATAAATAAATAAAATAAAGTGGTCCAAGTACGAAAAATATAGTTAAATTTCACTCCTTTCTAACAATAATTACTTTATCAGGAATTCTTCCAAATATGTGAGTCATTTCACAGTATTTCGCAAACATGGAAAGAATATTTGCTATTAGTGAACATTTGTCCACTAATTCGATTTACTGCAAAAAGTTTTTGAAAAAAATTGAATTATGGACTGTGTAAATTTGTTAAAAGAATATTGCTGAAAGTGTACAAATACGACATTGATGATAGTGATGATAATGGCAATGATAATGCTAACAATGATGATAGCTTCAAGCTATAATAATAGTCTTGCTAATATGCTAATGAAATAGTGATAGCAAAATAAAAATTATGATAGCTAATAGATAATAGCAATGAAAATTGATATTTGCTAGGCTATACTGACGATTATAATACTTTAAAAATTTTAAAAATTGATATGAATAATCAACAACATTGATCAATTTTATCAGTGCTAATAATGCTAATGATGGTAGGGCAATTTAAACAATTTGACTGATAGCTCTGATTTGACAGTTTCATCACTGATATATAACTAACCAACAGGTTATAAGCTCAGTTGCGTTTGGTGCAGAATTTATATGAAAGATACAATGGTGGGATCACGCAGAGCGTTGGTAGCAATTAATTTGCGCCGAATTTTTCAAAACAGTTTAAAATTAGCTATTTGATTCTTTTTTAAAGTACACTGTAGTCTGATAGCAATGAATTATCTGCTAATAATCGGATTTATTTGTTAAAAAAAAGGAGGAAAGAAAATTGATAACACTGACGTGAAAGTCATTGTGTTCCATTAAATAATTATTCCAATAGAAAGTTTCATTTCAATATTTCGCTTATTGTCAGAGAAATTATAGAATTTTTAAATGTATAGTTTGGAAATTATTTTCGCTTGCAAAATATGATTTAATAAACGATTTATATTTAAAAAGAGAAAAAGTCAAATAAATAAAAGACTACTACAATATAGGAACTATTTCTTGCTCTTTCAAATATTTCATTCTAATTCATTTATCTGAGAAATGAAGTCATTCAAAATTCAAACATTGATTATTTACAAAATTAAAATTTTTGAAAGAATTGTTTGAATTTTTGATGCTTGAAATTTCTTTTTTTTTTGTTTAATATTACTATACAAATAAAATATTCGACAATTTTGCGATAACAAATCAGTTTGATCAAATTTTTATGAATTAATTTGATAAAAAAAAATTTTCATCTATTTCTTAATATTTATCAAGATAGGATCACCGATAGAAATGAAAGTGTTTATTCGTTTTTTTCTTTTATCATTCATATTTTCGAAAAATCTTGACAAATATTAAGAAATAGATGAGAATTTTATCAAATTAATTTTATCAAAATTTGATCAAACTAATTTTATCAAACAACAAATTAATGAAGTTACGAAAAATACTTCATCAATGCTGAATGTCAGGAAGGATCATATTTTTTCTTTTTTTTTAAATTTTTTTCAACCATTATCATCCAAATATGGATACAAAATGTTTGATAAATTACAGATATCCCTAAATCGCTAAAAAAAAATGGTAATTATAGGGATGAAATATCGTTTTTTTCACACTATAATATTTTCATTAATAACAGTATCGTTTTTTTTTTCTACACTATCACTTATCAATTATATCATTATTACCTTTTATCTCAAAAACATGCCATGCAAATTTTTCGAAGTTTTGAAATTATACCTTGAATTACTTATTATCTAAAAATTTTCTTAAATCATTAAATTATTTGAATTTTATTAACCAGGAAAAAATTTTGCAAAAAATAAATAACCACTCCAAAATTACTCGAATGATTTTTTTTCATATCATAAAATACTTAAATTAACATTATTCTAATATGAATTTAACATCCACAGTGTGTATTATTTTGCATTTTATCTAACTTAATTTTTATATACTTATGATATGTTTTAAATAAATTTAAATTTGAATGATGAAAAGTTAATGTTTACTCATATTTTCCTTCTTTCCTTTTTTTGCTTATTATATAACTATTAGCTTTATAATTAATGCAAAAAAGGAAAAAAAAATTCAAAGAAGAAAAAAAAAAAGATATAGGAGGGTGTTAAATTTTGTAGGAGGAGAATTTAAACTTGTTTGAGCTTTTCATTAACGTCCTCCTCTTATACCCGTTTGTCTCCGTTTGTCCTCCTCTCCTCCATCCTCTTTCGTTCCATCAATTTATCTATCATTTTGTTTTTCTTTGTATTACAGAAATTTTAACTTTAAGG